CACTGCGGCTGCAGGGGGTCCGCCTGACGCTGGCGCTCCTCCCGATGCTCCAGCTTCAGCTCCGTCGAGTTCAGACTCGGCTGCGTCCGCTTTGCGCTTCTTCCGAATCCGATCCAGGAACTCCTGCTCCTGCTGCTTCTGCTGCTTGAGTGTAGCTGCCGCCTGTGCGAAAGCCTCCTTCGCCGCTCCCTTCGCTGCCTCCAGGAAGAGCTTCTTCCTCTTCTCGAGCTCCTGCCTGTCCGCCTCCGAGATGTTGTCGTCACTCGCGCACTCGAAGAGGCTGCCCAGGTCCACGTCGATCTCCTCGTCCTCCAGGAGGGCGCCCAGGGGCAGCACGCGCTGCTTCTTCGCGTTCTGCGCCCCGTCACACTTGAGGTCGCCTCCGAGGGGGTGCCGCTGAAGTTCGATTTTGACCTCTGCCTCTGCTGCCGCCACTTCTGCACTGCGCTGCTTGAAGTCATCCTCCGCTTGCTTGAGTTCTTCTCGAAGCCTTTCTCGGCGGCGATAGGCCTTCGTTTGCGCACTCTGTGCCTTTTGTACTCGATCTTCTGCTGCTCTGAGCGCCTGACGGGATCCAGGTTGTGGATGCTGAACTGCTGGTGGATGTGGTGCTGCCTCTGCGCGTAGGGCCTCGATCTTCTGCTTCCAAGCGCCGTCACCAGCCAGTGCTGCTGCTTGTGCGAGAAGTTCGGCCACCTTGTCATCCTTGCCGCCGCCTCCACCACCAGATTGATTTCCGTAACCTCCTGGCCGCTGAAGATCACCTCCTCCTCCAGTACCCTTGCGCCTGCCTTTGCCACGCCCTGCTCCGAGGATTGGCCAGCCCCAGTCGTCGAAGCCTCCGTCACGTTGTGAACGATCTGGTGCCCCTCCTCCTGATGGCTCCGCCCCCCAGCTGCTGGCGCCGCACTTGCACTTGAAGTCAGCGTCCGCGAGCCTGTCCATGAACAGCCAAGCGCAACACTGCTGACAGAATGCCTTCCGCCCTCTTTCCTGCTGACGCCAGGGCCACACCTTTGCCCATGGACGCCGTACGAAACTGCCGCACTCGCCACCACCACCGCCGCCAGGAGCCATGGAAGCGATGGGATCGGCCTCGGCCGGGATATGAAGCTCGACCTCGCGGGCGCGAGGAAGGCGTGATAGCTTAGTCCTTCTAGCTGGCCCTGGACCAAGGGTCTCCGTGCTCTGCCACGGGCAGTGACCATCTTGAGCCAAAATGGCTTGAGCCAAAATGGCTACGGACGACGACGACGACGACGACGACGACGACGACGACGAAGACGAAAACGAAGACGACGGCGGCGGCGACGGCGGCAGCTGCGGCGGCGGCGACTGCGGCGCCAGGGGCAATCTTCCTCGGTTGGACGTGGGGAATTCCTCGAGTGGCTTGTCTGTAAGGGTCCAATGCAATTCTTCTGGGAAGCCGCGTGCGGGGATGGCCACATCTGGCATCGGTCGGGTGTTTCGGTCTCCCGTGTCCTCCCGTGGCCTTCCTCGGTCGCACGTGGCCCCCTTGTCGCGTCGGCAAACTCTATAGAACTCGCACCACGAACCACCAAACAGTGCTGGCCCCCTGGACCTTTGCCAGCCTTCCCCTCCTCCTCCTCCTCCTCCTCCTCCTCGACTCCTCCTCCTCCTCCTCCTCGACTCCTCCTCTTCCTCCTCCTCCTCCTCCTCCTCCTCCTCCTCCTCCTCCTCCTCGAACAAACTGGTTGGGCGTGCCGAAGATGTGCCGTGGCGTGGCCGCCCCGAGGGCCGCCCGGTGGCCGCCGCGATGGCCGCCTCGATGGCCGCTCCGCCCCGCGGCCTCCCGTGCCGCCCGCGCACCACACAGTTTTTGCACCGCACGGCTTGCAGGAGGAGGAGGAAAGGAGGAAAGGAGGAAAAGGAGGAGGAGGAGGAGGAGGAGGAGGAGACTGCACGACACAGCTTGCACCGCAGAAGTTGCACCGCGCAGCCTGCACCGCACAGCCTGCACCGCACAGCCTGCACCGCACAGCCTGCACCCCGCACAGCCGACACCACCGCCGTTGGAACCGCATAGCTTACGCCACACAGCTTGCACCACGTGGCGTGCACCACATGGTTTACACCGTGTAGCTTGCACCCAGCAGATTGGACCCCACAGCTTCACCACACACACACACACGCTGCCTCGTATAGCTTGCATCGCAAACGATTGCACCACGCTGTTTGCACCACATAGCTTGCACCACATATCTTACGCCACACACATGTATAAATAGACACACCCAGACATCCGGCGCATCGATATTTTCAAGACACGGGCCCCCGACCTCCCGACCACTTCCCCGGGACAGGCGTTTCATCCCGAGTCGGTTTTTGACGGCCCCGAGGCCGAGCGAGGGCCCCGAGGGGCCGAAAACGACGAACAAAAGCTCCGTCTCGATGTTTGTCGAGACGCCCGATGTCTGGGCAATTATGTGGGGCATGCTACGGCGTGCAGTCCGGCCCCTGGTGCAGGACGTGGGCGAGGGCCACCCGAGAGGTCTCTCGGACTCTCTTGGATGCATTCCTGGGGGCCTTCGGCGCTCCGAGAGCTTTTTTTGACTCGCGGCCCGCAAGGAGAAGTCCAGAGGGCGGTGTGACCGAGGCTGGGGCACAGCGACAGACAATTGGCGCGACACCGCGCAGAGTGCACCTGCAGATAGTTAGAAAGAGCGTTCCGAGGGCCTCGCAAGGGCAGCTTTGCACCTGCAGCTAATTAGAAAAAGCGCTCCGAGGGCCTCGCAAAGGGCAGCTTCGGGGCCCGGGGCCACCAGAGAACGACCGGGGACGGACAGCCAGCCCCGAGGGGCGAGGTCGAAGAGAGACCATGACAGGGGGGGGGGGGGGGGCATGTCAGCAGAGTTCACGACGTCGAGAGTCTGGGCCCGCCTTGGGCCACCTCTCTTCGCGCGAGGCGCCGCGTGCAGGTGGTCACCTTCGCGCCCGCGCTTCGCTTCCCAGGGCAGGAGCCGCTGCGCGGTGCAGGCCGCAGGCCGCGAGAGGAGCCCCCCCCGGCAAAAACGACTATCGGATGTTCCCAGAGAGGCCGCCGGGTCCGTGGCCTCAGACTCTTCTGGACTGGGCCTCTCCGAGCACACAGATTTAAGTCGGGCCTGTCCCCCTACAGGGGGATTCTGGACGAAAAGTAAAAAACATTCAAAACATACTCAAGGATGCCCACAAATATCAAATAAATAGTCCCCAGACTATTTTTTGACTACATCTGAATATTTCTCCTGTAGAGGAACGGGCCCGACTTAAACGCAGATTCGAAGGGGGCGGAAGAGGCCTCCAGGCACGGTGGCTCAGATGTTCCCAGAGAGGCCGCCAGCATAAAACAATGTTACGCTTAGAGGTCAGATTTGTATCCATATCCACTGCGCAGCGGCCTCTTGGTGCCCCTTCCCAGAAAGTCCAAGACGCAATGGATATAGATGTAAATCGTGCCCGCAAGTATGTTCGAACCGATGCTTCCAGAAGCGTCTCTGGGAACGTCGTGGGAGTTGCCTGGCGGTGTGGGGACATCCGAAGCAATACTCCCGGAAGCCTGTCCATGAACATCGCGGAGGACGTGGAAGCGAGACGAATCGGAAGCTTCTTGGGGCCGTTTGGGAAGCCTCCCGCGAGCCTGTTGGAAGCGCTTTCGGGGCCTCTGGGCGCCACTGGGGTGCATCCCTCCTCCCCTCCTCTTCCCCTACTTCTCCTCCTCCTCCTCTCCTTCTCATCCTCCTCCTAATCCTCCTCCCCCTCCTCCTCCTCCCCCTCCTCCTCCACCTGACCCGCCCTCGAGGTCTGCCGGCAGACTTGGGAACGGCCCTGCGGGCAGGAAGAGGAGGAGGAGGAGAAGGAGGAGAAGGAGGAGGAGAAGGAAGCGGAGGAGGAGGAGGAGGAGGAGGCGGAGGAGGAGGAGGAGGAGGAGGAGGAGGCGGAGGAGGCGGAGGAGGAGGCGGAGGAGGAGGAGGAGGAGGAGGAGGAGTCGAGGAGGAGGAGGAGGAGGAGGAGGAGGAGGAGGAGGAGGAGGAGGAGTCGAGGAGGAGGAAGAGGGGAAGGCTGGCAAAGGTCCAGGGGGCCAGCACTGTTAGGTGGTTCGTGGTACGAACACTATAAAGATTGCCGACGCGACGGGGGGCCACGGAGGGATCCAGACCGTGGGAACCTCTGGGCGCTGCCTGGGCACCGTGGGGGGCGCCTCGTGCTGCCGCGCTCCCGGGCGAAGCCCCGGGTGCCTCGCGGACGAGTGGCGCGCGGGCTGGCGCGCGGACGGTCTGCGAGGTGCGGCGGGGCGCCCACAGCCGACAGAGGGGGGCGCAGCAGGGTCGAAACCGATGTACAGTCGGGTCGTTGACCTAAGGAACCCGAAATAAGGAACGAGGCCCCTTTTTCCCATCAGTCAAAGCTCGATTTCCCATCGAAAACCTAAGGATAACCTGAGGCAAGCTGCGAAACAATCAAGGAACACGGAGCCCCTCCCCAATGAAAAGGGTTCCTTCTTCAGCGCCCCGACTGTAGGGCTGCACCGCCCAAATTGCACACAGCACGGCGTGCCCCACACGGCCTGCACCGCGCCGGTCGCACCGCACGGCTTGCATCGCTCGGCCTGCATCGCGTGCACTGCACCACGCATGTTGCTCAGCACAGCTTGCTCCACTCAGCTTGCACTGCATGGCTTGCGCCGCATCGTTGGCACCACAGAGCTTGCGCTTGCAACACATGGCTTGCACCACATGCTTTGCACCACATAGCTTGCACATCCACAGTGTAATGACTTACTCTTCGGGGCCAACGCTGGCTAACATGTTTGCAGCATCCATGACAGGACAGGACAGGTCGCCGATGTCCGTGCTGAGACAGAAAGATCAACACCCACAGAAAAGCTATCTGTGCTGCAAGCCTGAGCAAACAACTCCGGACCTAAGGCACCTAGGAAGCACCAGAAGCCTTCTCATCAAGCGATGGTCCTATTTCGGAGCCCTGGCCATGGGTAAACATCAGCGCTGGATGGCAGAACCTGTCACAACCGAGAGAGTCACAATCAAGAATGCATCGAACGCCGCGCGGGAGCTCGTGTCGACCTCATCGCCCGCGCAAGCTGGTATCCCATCTGGCGACAGACCCTCGCATAGTGTCGTAGATGGTGTCGGGGCTGAGAACGCAGCTGATGTCGGAGTCGGCGTCGGGGCAAGAGACGCAGCCGATGTCGGAGTCGGTGCCGAAATCTCAGGCCATTCTCCGCCGCCGTCCTCCTCCCAGCAATACTTAGACTCACTTTCTAACGTCCATATCCTCCCATCCACGTATCGTGGTACAACTGGTTCTGGCGTATCCGAATCGAGCGCGTTGACCCAATCCAACAAGACTTGCCCTGGCGACTGGCCATGCATTCGCAATCGTCTCGAATGCACTGCGCTACTTGTTCCCATCGACATCACCGTGGCGTGGGTAATGCATCCGAGTAGGAACCACCCGTGATCCTTGCGTTTTGCAGGTGGGCTTTGCTGTAGAGTCGAACTGATTGCAGCCAGAAAACGAGTTTTGATACCGAGTGCTTTCTGGATTGCAGCAGGCGCGCAGTCGTCACTAGGCATCAGCCCGGGGCAATTGCTCGACGTCAGCCCCAATGTATACACAATCTCGCTGGAATCAGTAAGGCTCTGGATGATAAACACAGGCGTTTCCAATAATTCTGCATAGTGCTCCGGATATCCGCCACCGTGTCCTAAGACACGAGCTGGAGAGCCCCCAAGAAGCCCACAGGGGCTCCGAGAGGCCCAAGGAGGCCCCCAAGAGACCTCCTATGATCACCAGGAAGCTCCCAAGAGACCTCAAGAGTGCCCCAAGAGGCTTCCTCCTCTTCGTCTTCCTCCTCCTCCTCCTCCTCACCCACCTCATTTTGTCCTCCCGCTCCTCCTCCTCCTCCTCCTCCTCCTCCTCCTCCTCCTCCTCCTCCTCCTCCCATTCTTCTCCCCCACGTGTTTGTTCCCCGAAAAAAATCAACAACGGGTGGAGGAACACATAGTCCGGTAGCTTGGCCGAGCTCTGGCCGCACCGTTCCGCCACATAGGCGATTCCAAATGCAGGGGGCGGCGGTGATTCGTTGTAGGCATATTCGTAGATCCGCAGCCCCCGGGTGCCTGGCGTGCTAGATGTCTGGTGGCGTTTGGTCCTTTTCTAACGAACTCCCCTTGGGGCTTCGGCCCAGCCCGCCAGCCACCCGGAAAGCCGCCGAAAATCACCCCTCGTTGGTCACATCGCCTCCAACACGGCTAAGATGGCCCAAGATGGCTTCCAAGATGCCTCTAAGACGAGCAAGATGGCCCCAAGAGAGCCCAAGATAGCCACAAACACGGCCCAAGATGGCTCCAAGATGGCCCAAGACGGCCCAAGAGGCCCCCCAGAGGTCTCCAAGAGGTTCTCCAGGAAAGCCCGACGAGGCCAAAATCATTGAGTTACCTTAGGTTGTTGACAGCTTGTGGCAGTTGCTTCTTTTCGGCCTTCCGAAGGCCCAGGACGGCCCAAGAGGCCTTCAAGATCGTCCCTAGAGCGCTCAAGCGGCCTCCAAGATGGCCCCAGGACGGCCCAAGAAGGCCCCCACGACGGCCCAGAGGGGGGCCCAAGACGGCCAAAGAAACCTCCATGACGCCCAAGATGGCCTCCAAGACGGCCATGAAGCGCCCCACATAATCCAATAGCTTGGCCGGGCTTCGTCCAAACGTTTTGCCGCGTGGGCATTTCGAAAAGGCAGGGGTCGGCGGTGATTCGCCGTTAGCGTCTTCGATAAACATTTTTCCAGGTCACTAGATTCACGATCAACGCATCCTTGATGCAACCATTGCCAAGAATCTGTTAAGTTCCACAACTGGAACATCTGATTCGGCCAAATTCTGAATCCTGTATCGTTGCCGGTCCTTGGGTCAACACTCTCCATGTCTAGAAAATGGCCGTCGAAAGAAGATCCCAACACCCGCCACAACCCTCCGCTTTCTGCCTCGACAAACTCCCTCACGAAATCGATCTGATAGAACATTGCAGTGCCGCCGGCACTGTGGCCTCCTAGGACGAGCACCCGCGAGGTACCATTTGCTGAAGAAGACGAAGAAGCCCCCCTCGACTGCAAAACTCGACGAATGACAGCAACTAAGATCAATCGACCTTCGAAAAACAACGGGATCCCATCACCTTCTGTGATTGGATGACTCATGTTACTTGTGAAGCTTGTGCCGTCACAGTACGGCACCCACACGTGATCCCAGCTTGCTATCGGGAGGTCGGGGAAAGGTCGGGGAAGAGAGTCCGCACAACTAGACGACCCCAGGGCAGTCTGAGCACGGTAACGGCAAGCAGCTAACGTGGCTGCGCGGTCCGAACCATAACACCACCCACCCCCCTGCAAATGAACGTAGATCGGCCGCGTATCAGTCACATCTATACTCGCACTCTCGTAGAGCACCGCAGCAGAACCATCCAGACAACGACCGTCGTCCAGAACGCGACGGTGTAAAAAGCTCCCGTCGGGGCTCTCGGCTGCTCCGCCACAGGCAGAACATGCTGCTGTTGGGGACTGCCCTCCTGTCGCATACCCCGCGGCGGACGCAAAGGTGCCCCAGCTGAAGTCCCACCCGGGGCCGTAGCCGCCAGACTCGGTGCACCACTCCCCGTCCGCATAATCCGCTTGGTGGTCCCCAAACGCGGTGGTGAGAACACCCGGTGGTGAGTTTTGGGCGATTTGGGTTATTGTTTTCGAGCGCCGGCTGGCCCAGGAAACGCAAAACCTCGTGGCGATTGTGTGTCCCCAAACCCGGTGGTGACCCAGAAATATTTGTTGGGGGAATCGGGGTCACCACCTGGTGTCTCACCACCTGGTTTGAAGACCACCAATCCGCGCAGGAGTATCCCCAACTGTCCACCCAACCTCCGGGATCGTCTGCACAAGATGGAGCTGATGCTGGGGTTGGTGCAGGGGCCCCTCCCTCGCCGCCGCCACAGTCGCAGCATGCTGCTGCAGGGGACTGCCCTCCTGTCGCAGATCCCGCGGCGGACGCAAAGGTGCCCCAGCTGAAGTCCCACCCGGGGCCGTAGCCGCCAGACTCGGTGCACCACTCCCCGTCCGCATAGTCCGCGCAGGAGTATCCCCAGCTGTCCACCCAACCTGCGGGATCGTCGGTACAGGCCTCAATCGCTGCGGCCAGTGCAAGGAACAAGGCCAGTGATACTGAACAAATCATGGCGCGGCTACATATCTATACACATTTCCTGCGCCCATACGCTTGAGCCAAACTGGTTACGGAATATCAGAGGGAGGAGCTGAACCGAACGGTCATTCACTGTCCCTGGGTGCGTGGCTAAAGTGGACTTCCGCGATGCGGATTGTTGTTGTTGTTGTTGTTGTTGTTGTTGTTGTTGTTGTTGTTGAACATTATTTCTTCTTAAGAATAATTATTGTTGGGACCCCTGGTGCGCGACCCCCCCGCCGCGCCTAGGCCGCAGCCTCATTTTCATCACTTTCGTGAGGAAGTCTCAGGCAAAACGGGTTGGTCCGGATCCGGTTGTGTTGTTACGATCGGTTTTCCCTTGCAAAAAATAAGCTAAAGTGGACATTTCTTGTTCTAACATAACCAAACTTCAAGAATCCCTTGCAAAAAATAAGGTAAAGTGGACATTCGCGCGCGCAAGACGAAATCCTTCCAAAACCTTAGTTTTCGTAGCGATTTTAACATAAAAACATCAAAAAACCAATGGTTTTTCAAAAAAAAATTGTCAAAATTTCATCCCGCGCGCTCTTGCGGATTCGTAGGAAACCCAACACTTTTTAAACATTTCTGTCAAACGGGCTTTTGCGAGCAACTTTTTCGAACTTCTGCAACAACGGTTGCGCACCTGCCAGGGCCATCATCCCTGTCAAATAATACCATGCGGGACACATTCGTTTTTTCTTCGCGCGCGCACGCCGTCGTCGTCGGCCGCGGGGCCCTGAATAGTAGCCACGGTCGTCCGCATGCCACGAAGTGAAGTGTCCGAACGTCATAGGGCGGGAAGCTGGGTGTGGGTGGTGGCGAAGAGTCGTGTGGAAATTTGGTAGAGCTTGAACCGGCCCCCCCACAAAGTGGGGGTATTGCCCGCCTCCTATGAAAACCCTGGCACTGGTGAGAACACTGAGCGTTGTAAAGTGATTGTTGTTGTTGTTGTTGTTGTTGAACATTATTTATTCTAAAGAATAATTATTGTTGGGCCCCCTGGTGCGCGCCCCCCCTGCGCCGCCTAGGCCGCAGCTACATTTTCATCATTTTCGTGAGGAAGCCTCAGAAAAGAGGGTGTGTACAGGATCCGGTTGTTTTGTTGTAATCCGCTTTCCCTTGCAAAAAACAATAGAAAATGACATTTCTTGTTCTAATATAATCAAATTTCAAGAATCCCTTGCAAAAAAATAAGGTAAAGTGGACATTCGCGCGCGCAAGACGAAATCCTTCCAAAAGCTTAGTGTTCGGAGCGATTTTAACATAAAAACATCAAAAAACCAATGGTTTTTCAACAAAAAATGTCAAAATCTCATCCCGCGCGCTCTTGCGGATTCGTAGGAAACCCAACACTTTTTAAACATTTCTGTCAAACGGGCTTTTGCGAGCAACTTTTTCGAACTTCTGCGACAACGGTTGCGCACCTGCCAGGGCCATCATCCCTGTCAAATAATACCATGCGGGACACATTCGTTTTTTCTTCGCGCGCGCACGCCGTCGTCGTCGGCCGCGGGGCCCTGAATAGTAGCCACGGTCGTCCGCATGCCACGAAGTGAAGTGTCCGAACGTCATAGGGCGGGAAGCTGGGTGTGGGTGGTGGCGAAGAGTCGTTTGGAAATTTGGTAGAGCTTGAACCGGCCCCCCCACAAAGTGGGGGTATTGCCCGCCTCCTATGAAAACCCTGGCACTGGTGAGAACGGAGTGTCCCCACGTGCTAGTAATTGTTGTTGTTGTTGTTGTTGTTGTTGTTGTTGTTGTTGAACTCTCATTCTTGAAGAATAATTATTGTTGATCCCCCCCCACCGGTGCACATTGATTTTTTTCGATTGAAGTGCCACCCCCGGGGCTCGCACCTTGTTTTTTCTCAAGGAAAGTCTTCCTGCTCAAACTGTGCCCCTGCCCCCCGGGCTACAACAACAACGGCTCCCGCCTGAGACTTCTTCGATTTTTACTCAGGACCCCCGCTCCCGCCTGAGACTTCCGCGCAATTTACTAAGGAAAGGCGCTCCCGTTTGATACTTCCTCGCAATGTAATCAAGACCCCCGCTCCCGCCTGAGACTTCCGTGCAATTTACGTGGGAACGGCGCTCCCGCCTGAGACTTCTTCGAATTTTACTCAGGACCCCCGCTCCTGCCTGACATTTCCGCGCAATTGACTCAGGAACGGCGCTCCCGCCTGAGACTTCCTCGCAATTTAGTGAGGACCCCCGCTCCCGCCTGAGACTTCCGTGCAATTTGCTCAGGAAGGGCGCTCCCGCTTGAGACTTCCTCGCAACTTAGTCAGGGCCCCCGCTTCCGCCCGAGATTTCCTCACAATGTACTCAGGACTGCGCTCTCGCGTGCGACGTCCTCACAAATTATTCTGGAATTGCGTTTCGGCGCTCAGGAACCACGCACGCGCCAAGGACGCCTTCACAACGTGGTATCTTCCCTCTTCCTTCGTCCTTCCCCCTCCCCTTCCTCCCACTCTCCCTCGTTCTTCCCCTCCTCCTCTTGCAGGGCCCGCGCCAATTCCAATGGCGGGCAGAAAGATGTACGCCCCCGAAGGATTGTCCGCCCGTTCCGGTTTGCCCGTACGTCTAAGCCCGCCGGCCCCAGCAAAGAGAAATAATCCCCCCGAAAGGGGTGTGATCGAAGACGAAGAGGGCGGGTATCGAGGGTGTAGGGTATACGTGTTGAATGACTCGCGGGCAAGTAAGAGCGTACAGCCTTAAAATGGTTGTTGTTGTTGTTGTTGTTGTTGTTGTTGTTGTTGTTGTTGTTGTTGTTGTTGTTGTTGTTGTTGTTTTTGGTGTTGTTTGTTGTCGTCGTCCCACCAGCGACCCGCCCCGCGACCCACCCGCGACCCACCCCGCGACCCACCCGCGACCCACCCGCGACCCACCCCGCGACCCACCGGCGACCCACCCGCGACCCACCCGCGACCCACCCGCGACCCACCCCGAAACCCCCCCGGCGACCCACCGGCGACCCACCCGCACCAGCGACCCGCCCCGCGACCCACCCGCGACACACCCCGCGACCCACCCAAAATTTTCGGCGCCTGCGGCGGGCTTCTTTTGCATTCGTTCCAGGCTTCTTTTGCATTCGTGAGGGCAACGAGGTCCGCCGGCTCGACGCCCGCGTCGCCCGCGCCCACCCCCTCACTCTTATCCGCAACTGCGGGGTGCTACGTATGGGCCGACGTGGAGCCCTCTTGGGCCGTCTCGGAGCGCTCTTGGGCCGTCTTGGGCCCTAAAGAGACCATCTCGCAGCGCTTTGGCGTCGCCCTGGACCCTCAAGAAGCCCAAGACGCAGAAATCACGATGTTCCAACACTGCTTCCATACACAGCTTGTTTGCAAAGGTTCCAGGTGCGTATTATGTATTGAAAAATCATAAATCACAGAAGCGCACACACACACACGCGCTCTCTCTCTCTCTCTCTCTCCTGGATCCGGAAACGGTCGGGTGTCGTTGCCACTCCTTCGCCTCCCAAACGTACCTTGTCCTCGTCGCCTCCCAGTGGTCTCTTGCCGCCTTCGCCTCCCAAATCTCCCGTGTCCGCTTCGC